TGAAAAACTTGGCACTCATGAACTGAGGAGTTTAAGGGGAATCTATTTTGTGAATGACTTGGGAAGATGATTCGTCACCCCATGACGATTGTCCTTGTCCCAGACACAAAAAGCAGAAATCCCACTGATATAGCATTTTGTATGCTTTTTTTCCTCACAGAGATTGAATCTTGGTGTTCTGCTCCAAATTTACCACATGAAGATTTTAAGAGAAATAGAAACACCTAGCTAGCTCTTCTAACTTTATTACACAGGAGCAGTAACCATTGTATTGTTGACTGTAGCACCAGTCCAGCAAAAGCAACAGCAGAAAGCAAGTGTGTTAGTGTTAGAATGCTTTCACCATAAATATATGTGAAGTGTTGTTTGATGGGAGATTGCATCTGCATAATTTAAAATCTTTGGAGATTTTCAGCAAAAAGAGTACCTTCAGCTATCTGAAGGCAAAAGGTATTATCAAATGGTCAATGCAGATTTTCTACCAACTGCATTTAAAAAACCCAGCACTAAATTATCCTGGAAAAAAATCCATTACAATTAGAATGAAATTTCACAAAACCATGTGAATTCTGAGTCAAGTATGTTTTAAGTGCTGCAAACCAACACCCTGGGATTTAGACATGTATGGGCTTCTGGAGACCTTGTACCACAGTCAGTGTTTCATATCACTAGAAAATACTTAAACAGCAGGTGAGGCAATTCTACATTCTTTTAGATGCTTACCACTTGGAATAATAGCAAGACTTTCTTTACACTGGATAATAAGGTGAAGGAAAGAGAAGTGCTTTACTCTCAGCAGATGTCCTTGAGCGTAGCACCTGAAATTCAAGTATATATAGTGGTTAACTACAGCAAAATGTGTTGTTTTCTGGAGTGACGAAGAAAAATTTCCATAGAAACCTCATAACTTGCTACCTTGAACTTGGAAAATGACCATTTGAGGGAACAAAAACAAATGGACAAAAAACAATGGAATCTTATGGTAAGATGCTCAACAAAGAGTTAGACAGGTGCCTGTGAGTGTATGAAGATTGGCACCCACTCTAGACTGAAAACAACTCTTTAAACACTGTTTAAGCTGAGATCTAAACCATTGTGAGAAGGATGCAACACTCAACATGTGTTTTACTTTATTTGAGTGTTGATTGTATTCAACACTCTGCTAAAGAATATTTGTGGACTTCGTACAAATGAGTTTCTCTGTACTTGAAGGAGCATTTTATGCAGTTCTTCTGAGGTTAGTGTGAGGTCAGTGTGATACAGACCCACCAAGAACATAGTAGAGGAAAGCAGGAGAAAGAAGGAACTCTGTGTTTCCCAGAAAGGAAAAAAAGCATTGATCAAAAGCTGATTTCTGCCATTTGACACAGCCTTGAGAGACTATAGGTCAAGTTAGCTTTCTTCATCTTCAGTGTAATTCAACAGGTACCCAAGTTACTGATTTATTTATTTTTTTTAATAATAGTTCTCCAGAGCTGAAAAGCATATCTACTGGATGTAAAAATAATAATTTCAAAATAGTTTGGAGATACTTGAAAGTATCATGTGGCAAAGTGTCTGAAAAAAAAAAATTTCAGATATTTTTATGTGAATTCCTGTGGTGTAGCACAGATCAAAGTTGTTGAGGGTGTAAATTCATGTGAATATGTTTATGTGAATAGGGTATGAGAAACTAATCTTTTTCCAAAGTTCATGTTTATATTCACTGTTCCTCGTATTTCTATGTACAGGATGCTAGAATATGAGTGTTTTCTCTTAATTTAAAATCTTTCTAAAGGAATAGCATTCCATGTGAAGGAGGCCTTACCATGCAATCTATACCAGAGTATTGTCCTTCAAAAAATTTTATATTTCTCTTGAAGTTATTTCACGTAATCTGTTGTCACATAAATAGTCCATGTCGTGGTCCTGTATACAATGTATACATGTCCATGTATACATTGACTTCAATGCCAGTTGGTCAATAAATGAAACTTACTCAGAAGGTGATTGGTGCTTCTCTTCCTCCTTACTGGTAATGTATGCAGAGGAGAAAAAATGATGGAATTTTCATTTCACGGGCAATTCAGGCATTTTAACATATGGTTTTGTCCCAAACTTTAGATGAAAACGTTTAGAAAAAATTTTGCTTGGAACATATGAAAACAAAAATGCAGTTAATGTGACACTATAATGCACCTGCTAGCAGTAGCACAATGCCTCCTGAAAGAAGAAATTTTAATGATTTATCTCATCATTCTTCATGGACTGGGTTCTTTGAAGGGACTTCTGCTGTTGTTTTTGTGCTTAGGACTCTTGTGATGCACCAGGGCCTTGTCTGTGGGCCAACATACATCATCTCTGAGATGTTGGACCACAGATATGAAGGTTAATGTCAAGCCAATTGTTTAGGCTTAGTTCTACAAACCAGAATATCTTTCTAGATCAAGCCAAACTGAAATACCTCATTCTTTTCCTGATGGAATCTCAGTAGCATTTCCACAGAAATGCACACAGCTGGGTAAAAACGTAATTTTTCATTGAAAAAGTCGTGTTATTAAAAAAAAATATAACATCCAGCAACCTCTAATAATAAGTTATGTCTTTGCTGCCCATTCTACTCCTTCATACACATGCAAAATAAGTGATATTACTTTCATGTACTAACAGTTGCCATTCCCTCCCTATATGCAGTGTTCATTGAGCAGTTTAACCTCCCTTCTCCTAGTTCCCCATCTTTTCTGTTCAGTCTATTAAATATACTGTAGCTGGTACAGTCTATCAAGTATATTTTGCTTTTGGATTTCTTTGCAGGGTCTTTCTTGTTTTGGTTTGGTGAGGGGGGTGGGTGTTTTAATTTATTTTTGCATGTGTATGTGATGAACCATAATTATCTCAGATTTTGCCTAATCTGAGATACCTATGGTGTATGGGAGAGGGGCAGAAATGGAGGAACACATCCCAGGTAAACGTGTGGTACTGCATTTGTTTCAATCTGGGCAAGACCACAAATGATAAGGGCGAACTTAAGCATATACTTTAAGGTATGGAAGGAAAAAAAGTAGACATTTAAAAATTATGAACTATTAAAGGAATTTTTGTAGTGTATGGAACTTCGCCAAGAGGTTCATATGAACTACCAGTGAAATAACATCCTCTTTGAAACAGTACATCTGATCAGAATGTAGGGAGGTGTTAGATTTTGTTTTGCAGCAGAGGATACAAGCTCTACTGCAGGAGTCAGTGAAAAGAAAGGATGCAAGTGTAGATAAAGATGGTGTGGGAGGATGTTTGTGGTATCAGAAGCATTCGTTCTGGAATTTACCTAACAGCAAAGTCATATATAATTACTGCATATAATGCAGTAAGTGTGGTTTTAATACAAAGCACAGAAATGCTGTAAAGGAAAAGAAATGGAATGTAGGAAAATAATTCTGCTTATATACCGTTTAATGATTAAGAATTTTTACAGTTTTGGAAGAGGGAAGTTTTAAGTAGCATTTTTCAAGTCAATAAGAAGATCATGTGCAGAGAAGCTATCTAAAAGGAAGGGAGAAGGTACTTAAAATAAGCAAGCAGAGATGTGTAATTAAATGTTAGGACAGATAATGCAAGGAAAAGTAAAAGTATGATAGATTCCTGGCATTGACAACATGCAGGTGATATTCCTTGAGCTAGCAAAATACATAAAACTGACCAGGACATAGAGAGGCTACAATCTGAAAGGTATGCTATAAAAAGTGCAAATATAGAACAGGCATACCTTCTGAGCTGGTTTATGTACGAGTATGTGCCAACATGAACAATCACTTTTGTGGGCATGATTATGAGGGTTGTTTTCTGAACTTTGATTCTATAAACCAAAGTGTATTCTGTAAATACATAGCACAATCTGTGTATGCTATAAAATGTGTGTGCTGGTTGTCCTCCTCCTGTTTTCCATTTCTAGGATCATCTCCTCAGTCCAGAAATGCTTTTACTTTCCATTGCTCTTTTAACCTTTGGACAGCATCTGGTGTGTGTTTACAACTTCTGCACAAAAGCTGACTGCAGCTATCTGTTAATTAATTTGCCAAGCACAACCTCACAAAGAGAGAGGAGCATTCTCTTTGTGATCTTGAAATGTTTTGAGATGTGAGGAGCTATGATTGGTGTTCAGTGATCACCAAAACTTCTACTGCAGTTAGAAACGTGTCATGATTGTGAAGCTAATCGGTGTATGTTTGCTTCAGGAGCTAAACCAGCAGAGAGATCAAGAATGTAATGAGTGTCATTGCAGCTATTCTCACTTTAGATTTTTTTTTTTGGCGGGGAGAACAGAAATTTATACAGACCAGTGATATGAACGAAAAATAAAATGTTTAAAAAGAAAAAAGCAAGAAAGTGAAAGTTTGATGCAGAAAGCCATAGACAGAACGGTGAAGCAGCTTCTAATGTAACTGGCAAATAAACGGTATCATTGGGACATATAAAATATGTTTATTACATGGTTGAGTACCTCAGCATAATAAACTCAAAGATACAGTTCAAACTCGATTTTGGATACTTAGGATCAGCTCATTTTACGGATTTATGAGTCACTCAATCCTTTGTAAAGAAGGTAGACTAAGATCCAAAATATACAAAGCACACCTTAAGTAAGAACATTATTCTATAAACTTTGAAGTTTAATAAAAGGAATTACAGTTTGTCCAAAGTTGTTAATATTTATTCACTACATCTTATGTAAACCACTCCCATGAAGAGTGATGGTATTGTGTCAAGGATTCTGTAAGGAGACAGATAAAGAGCTTATTTCCTGCACATATTCTGACTTCTCTTCATGATTTTCCTCCTCCGTTGACTTGTCTGTATTTGGGCCTTTGCTACCATATGTGAAGTTTTTTCCACATAGGGGAGAAAAAAAAACAAAAAACCTTTTTATCCCAGAAACATGGCACTTATCAACTGCATCAATTCATGCTCTATGTTTCCTCCTTCCTAATCATGTGTTTTCTGTTGTGTTTTTTTTTTTTCACTAGGGCCTATTTCAAGACATTTGTCCCTCAGTTCCAGGAGGCAGCATTTGCTAATGGGAAGCTTTAGGCAGCCTCAGGCATGGAAACGATACTGAACAGATCCTTCAGTGTCAGCCCACAAGAAGAATGCCTGGAAATGGGATGGACTGGCGATATGTGCTTTCTTGCCTCTGAAGTGATTTTGGTAGCTTCACTTTTTGAAACAAAGACCTCAGTAGCATGCTTAGAACTGGATATTTGATATTTGTCCTGTCCCTTTGCCTCTGCCACCACCATTCCTATGTATTTTCTGGATTAAATTTAAAAGGACGTGTTTTGATGTGATAACACTTTCTTGTTCCAACAATGTCCTGTATGTTATGCCTTGTTTCCTTGTCTTCAGATGGTCTAAATTGGATTTTTTTTTCCCCATGGAAATATGATGTAGTTTGTATATTTAGTTAATGTTTTCAGCTTATCCTAAGAAAACATAAAACTGCCGTTATGTACCAGGAATGCCTAGTGGACTGTACAGTGCCATAGTCTACCTTGGAGGTTTGCGTCTCACTGCGGTCGTTACTCTCACAGGTATGGACATGAGTTGCACACTTCAATTCTTAGTGCCTTTGCAGTTGGTCTGAAGTTAAAATGGCAGGGTGTTTGAGGGTTGTTTGGTTTTTTTTAATATTTCTGTTGAAAGCTCATCTTATGTGAAATGCTATGCTTTTATGCTTTGTTTTTATTTCCAGTTGTACAGTTTTGGTGTTTTACTAATGAACTCCCCTTGCCATTACAGAAAAGTTCTACTTCTTTAGTACCAATGTGCAAGGAACTAGTTATATAAATCAGTATAACAAAATAAAGCTCTTTCATAGATCTGTAATTTTCCCAAATAAGATAAATACTGCTAAGAAGCAAGCTTTCAACAAGGGAATGAATGATGTCTTGGAAAATAACATGAAATAATGTAGGGCTATAGGTATTTAGCTTAATGCCTAAGTTCAGCATGTCTTCTCAGAAATAATTTTATGTGTATATAACTGGAAACATTACCTCCCCTAATTCTGAAATGCCAAACACAAAATCCCACCTAATCATCCTTTCTTTCCTGCTTGTGTCAGGAGCACCATTTGGGGCTAACTGTCACAATGTCACTTCCCAAATTAATTTGTGAATAGACCAGGGTACTTTCCAGTAAGGAATAAAATGAACAGTGTTTGTTGCTTATAAATGGCATCTGGAAAATGTGCCCTACTTCTGCAAAATATAAGGAACTAAATGAATAGTATGCAGATGATACAGTGGAACTGGAAAACATTTAATTTTAAATTATTCACTGTACCACCACGTGCAATGAAATCTTATCGAATTACTTGACTGGCAGTATTCTTCTACCCTTTCTGCAATTTGTTTATTACATGAAAAATAGTGCTTTTGAGGCTTTATGTCCACCTAGGAAATGCAGATGGGTTTTGAGCAGTGAAGCTTGATACTTAAGAATTATGCAAATAATTCACCTCTAGAAACTACAGGTATTTTTAGCTAGTTTATGGGCAAAATTTAATTTATGTTTAATACTGAAGTTCTTGGCTGGAAATTTAACTGCAAACGACATCAGAAGCCTTATTGTAACTCCACAGAGGAGGGGGCATATTCTGTCCTGTGACCCATCCCTTCGTGATTTTCAGTGCATTATTTGAGGACTGCCAACAGCTCCAAAGGTCTGAGCCTGAATTCCCTCTGTGGAGACATTGCATGCGGCTTCTGCATGCAAACCAAAGCTTAGAGCAGATGTGGAAGGTAATGGTTATATGTGAATAGCAAAACCATAACTGAACAACCTTAAGTGACTGGGAACAAGCATTGTTTAGTGCACTGGGATGATCTCACATTTGCATTTCTTTAGGTAAAAGCCAAAGCCATGTATTTAAGAATAAGCCAACCTTGTGAATGAGGTGGGAGAAGGAGGATGGCTAATGAAAAACATATGTTCTCATAGTGTTCAAAATCTGATAAGAACAATCTCTAGCCATCTTCAAAAGGTAAAAATCAAGCCTTCAAGTTGCCTCAGTACATTCCTGGGATCTTACATTTTATAACCTTGTGTTTGATTCAGCATTGTAGTGATTGCCCCATGAACACAGTGTGTACTTATATACCTGATTGTCTGCCACGGCCCGAGGGTGAAGGGAATAGGGACACGACACTGCACAAAGGGTTCTGACACAGTAGAAGGTCAGGGTGCGATGGCCAGTTTATTGAGGGGAACAAGGACTTATACAGGGTTTGGGTAAAGGGAGATCTGATAACTGGGGTGGAGCATGGGATTGACACCTCAGGGGAGAGCAGGACTGGGGAACACGGAGAAGATGGGTGGAACTTTAGGAGTATCCAGGGTAGGGGACCAATGGGAGCTCACTCTGCACTGCGGCATCCATCAGCCAATCAGTGAGAGATGAGCGGGAAAACCAGGGGAGAACAAGGGAGTAAACAACTTTTGGTGGGAAGACGTGAGGGCAAGTCCAGACAAGCCCTGAACAATACAAACCAAGGGGATTAACATAGGAATAATTGTGGGGGTACATTGAACATGGCAATAAACTGGGGAATAACGTGAAAGTCCATGAATTATTAAGTCTTTCAGGCCCCATACAAGTCTGTCCAGGCCTTAAATCTCTCCCAGTCACTTGGGTAATCCTCCTCAATTGTCCAGGTGGCACCACTATTTTTTTTTTTTATTTTTTCAGAAATTGCCATGATTCAAAGGCTAGCAGTTGCAAAACATTTTGGAAAGAGATCCACTCTTCATAATTAAGATTTATTTTCAACCAAAAATGCATCCTTCACCTCAGTCCCAGTAATTTTGGACAAAGACCTGTTTTATTATTAAAAGACTAAGAGTTTTAGAAGCCATGTAAGAAAATACTTTGAAGGTACAAAAAGCCTAAACCAGTAATTCCTTGTGTTGAATTCTATAGTTTCATCAGCTTTCCAGTAACATGCATGGAAACAAACCAGTAGTTTCAGTCTCATTTTGTGTCATGCTACAATTGGTAGTATGTGGGGGGAAAAAAAAGGTAAAATAAAAAGAAAATGTGAAACTGTACTGTTTGTGTTTAAGATAAAGTTTGCAAGCCTATCAATTTTTAAATTAAAGAAAAGGCATTTTTGTTACACTTAATGAACATTTTCTTTGACCTGCACAGTATTTTATGGATCCCTTCCTTATAGTTCTCAGAAGTATTGGGGGTGTTAGCATTGCAAATGGTGTATTGGAAGGAAAGACACTGAAATGAGTGAAAGCTTCCTTCCAGAAGGAGGATTACCATATAAATACTACACCAGAAAAGAGAGTTAGTCTGAATAATTTTATATCAAATCAAGTATTCATTGAAGGCATTTAAGGTAGGATGTTGGGATCTAGTTGGGATCTAGTAAGTTGGAGTTATTTCTGTTGTCTCCTGTTTTATTATAATATCCATTGTGGCCAGTTTAATGGCACAGAGACTTTCAGCACTTATGTGATATAACTGCATATATCGCAGTTAAAAGGAGCAGTCAGATCTAGGCTATTTTCCTTGGTTTATGAGAATCACAAGACATAAAGACGAAAAATAGCAATGTTACAAACATATCAGAAAGCCTAAATTCAACTCTGTCATAGTTCTGACTGAAAGAAATGCAGTAAGGCTGTAGTTACTAAGCCCTATTAATGCACGATTTTCCAAAGGTCCTTAAACTGCAAATGTGCTGCCAAGCCTTTATTCATCTGCATACATATTCCACTGTGCTAGAAGTAATACCAAATCTTATGGATTTAAAGTCAGCCTTCTTGTGAACTTGCTGGAAAGAGTGGACAAACAGCTGGAAGAATAAATAAAAGTAAAATATATCATATGTCGTTTGGCCTTCATTGATCTTTCTGTTGTGCTGGCCATTGCTTTGTTGGTCAGCATGTCTCATTTGCTGAATAAGCAGGTTTTGGTATCATCACTGTGCTTGAACATCCTCCCTTCATATGGAGAGTAGACTTGAGTCAGTTTGTGAGAAGAAATCATTGCTAGAATTAGCACAGATCTCCTGTATATTGTTAAACCATCCCTAGGGATGTTTCTCTGTATGTTTCCTTTCTCTCATCCTGTCTGGTGCCTGTGGCAATAAGCATCTTTGGTGAATCAGTCAGTGGATGAGATTTAGCACTGAAGTGCAGCATTTTAAGTCTTACTTCAGGTGGTTTTACATGGAGACTTCTTACCTAGGAAAGAGAGGATTCAATCTTGAGTACTCTCCATTGAGCAGTGCCCCCTAATAAAAGGCTGAGGGTTTAGCAGAGGTCAAAAACATGTTTGAGCAGTGAGTACTGCTGCTTAAACATCCTTCTATGTCAGTACCCTTAATCAGAGAAGCAACAGGCAGTGGAAAGCTGTAGTAGCACATGAGGATCACCAGTGCAGATCTGAAATACATTTCTAATACCATGTCTGTGCATGGAGATGAAGTGTTGAGTCCTCTGACAGTGGAGAAGGGGAGTTTCTCACCTTTCCAGCTTTGTGAGAAAGGTGTGCTGCAAGGAGGTAACAAGCTTTGGACACAGCTTCTGACCATGACTGTTAATTACAGGGTGCTGTCCCTGCCCTGTGAAGCAAATGAAATCTGTGACCAAACTGACTGCCAGTGAACACTCTTCCCTTTAAATTACTTATGTCTCTGTAATTGATGTATTGTAACACTCATTAAGCCTAAGAGTTACACTTGCTTCTTGAATGTTACTGAAAATCCCTTAAGTCATCTCCTTTTCACTTTTGTTTTCAGGTTTCTGTACTGTTCTGGGTTTATCCTTACTAGTTACTGCTATTTTTAGCAAGTTTGAGGTTTTTATTTTAACAAGGCAACAAGGTGTATGCCAACATCTATGGGCCTATATTAAATGTAGAATTATTTGCTGTAAAAATAAGTAGAAACTCTTTTTTACTTATTAAGCCAGGTGGTGTATTTTCCACAACAGAAGAATTCTGAGGAAAGGCTCAGTTGTTACCAAAGCAGAGAGAATAATCATGCCGAGGGTACTGGATACATCTTTTGCACCAAATCTTCATTTAATTTGCATGCTAGCAAATTAGGAGGGGCAAAGTGTATTGTCCTTTTCTGAAGGAAGTCTACACCTAAATAAACCATTGATCAGGCACTATCTTTTCCTGTTTATGCTTTCCATCAATAGGGTTTGCCCCTACAGGGAAAGTCAGTAAAAATCTGAATAATATCTGTCAACAGTGCAGGGGTTTTTTAATATTTTAATCTACCGATTTTTGTAGATTCAGACAATGATTTAAAACTTTGTGCTGGGGGAAGGTGAACAACACAAATATCAGAAACTTGCAAGTAATTTTAGCTATGTAGGAAATAAAAATCTAGCAATTTAAGTCTTATTCTGCAAGAACTCAAGGGTTCTGCTATATATTTCTAAGCAAATGCCTTGAAAAACATGGCGTGTAGGTGATTTTTGACCTGCTTTTCTTATTCTGTTCCCTATCTTACATTTAAAACCTCAGTTCTTGGTTCCAAGGCGCTGCACAAACACCATTTTGTTAAAGTGGTAGTTACCAAGCAAAAAGGCAAGGGGGAAAACCAGTATCGGCTGTTGAAAATAGGTCTTAAATCATCAAGAAATCAACAAAGGAAGCAAGGTTTGGCGGCTGCCCTGCCACTTGCTGAGTCTACAATATGGGCCTTCAAACGTGTCCCCAGTACAAATTAAAAAAAATACAGGAGGTTTTTCTTGCAGCGCTAAAGAATAAATGCAGTTTTAAACAACAGGAAGTAAAGCAAGCGTTTAATTGCAGGCATGAAAAGCAAAATACACACTAGAAACCTAATGTTATTTGTGCCTACAGCTCCCCGCGTTTCTCCTGTCACCAGCGAGGGTGAAGTACTAATGCCTTGTGCTGCAGCTGCCTGTGGTGAAAATTGATCCTTGAGGTGCTCCGTGTTTTCATCAAACTCCAGTTAAACCCTAATGATGCTTTTCCTATCCCTGAGGATGACAGGGGTTTCTGTTCCACTGCTGCTCCATTTCAAGTCCTTGATTTGGGTGGGGCGAGTACATTGTAAGCCATCAAGCCTGCCAGCAAACAGGGTACATTTTATTTACATGGTGTTTATTTGAAATGATTAAAGCTGATTCAAATTTGAATCCTGTTTCCTTTATTCCACTGTCCCTTTCAGCAAAATCTTTTCAGTACTTGTTTAAAAATCAGAGCCGGCGAGGTTATTTGCGTCTTTCAAAGGGGATGTAGCACTGGTGTGAGAGTAGCAATTCGAGGTTGGAGCCATGTGTTTCTTCTCTGAACTGCGGAGTCAGCAGCAGCCCCAGCGTCGCACACTCCTCCCAGCAAACCTGACTTGAACTCGGTCTGACAGGCTGACAACCAGGAGTGACAAAAACTCAGACCGTTTTTTGCTTTTCCTCAGAGGACCGGTGAAACAGCCTCTGCTGGCTCAGGCGCTGTGTGTAGCCTGTGAGATCTCGGCTGCAGGAGGTAACAGGCTTGGTTGCTCATCAGCTGGGACGAGGTTCGTTTTTGTGCCCAACACAGGAGCTGCCAGAGGGGAATGCCACCCTGCTGCTGCTGCTGCTGAAGCCAGGAGTTTCCTCTTAATGCCTTCATAGGAAAAGGCAGCTGCAAAATCCAGCTGCAACACAAGTACAGCCCTGCCAGCTAGGAGTGATTTCTTGTGTTTTGGCCAACTGAGCCTGCTCTCTGTTCTTCTGCCTCTGTTCTACCAGAGAGCAGACTCTGCAGAGAACTTTTTCCTTACATCGCCCTAGAGGCACGTAAAAAGTTCGGTGGCTATCAGTAACCAGCTTTCTATCTGAACTTTTCTATCCTTGTTATGAGAAAGGGGAGCAAAATGTCCAAATAAAAATCCGTATTATAGAAATAGCTTGTTTCTTACATTTCTTCAGTTCCATGGCCTGTTTCAGTGGTTGTTTAATTACTGCCCTCTGATGAAATAGACACTGTTGGCATGTTGTGTTTGCTAGACATTCTGCACTCATCTCCCAGTACCTTGTATCCAGTATCTGCCTCTGAAGCACAGGGGAGCTCTCAGGCAGCCCACAGATGGGCCAGAAGAGAGGATGGCATCTGCTGGTTTCAGCAAGAAAGAGGTGAGTTTAGCTGAATGAGTTTGTGCTGTGAGAATTGGGCTCATCTTCTTCGGACTACCCACAGCACTTGTAGCCAAGAAGAAATAACAGCTTCTGTCTAATGGGGTCAGATAGCTAAAATGGAGCAGTTCCGCATGGTGGTGGCTGTATAATTATACGCTGGGCCCTTGCGTGTCTGGTCCTAATAGCACCCGGGACTCTTGTGAGTGACTCAGCTGCTGCTTCAGGCTAATTATGGGCAGGTTGCATGAAAAACCCCCATAACCTGATCCTGCCTTCCTCTCTTCCAGTGCATGGGTGTTCGGCACCGACCTGGATTGCTCATGCAAAGCTGGGTAAATACCTGCTCATGAGGAAAAGGCTTTTCAAAGCAAGGCTGCAAACAACAGTCGGAGGTGCCTGGTTTGAAGAGGAGGTGGTGTCTGTCAGGACATTGTTTGGGCGTATCCAATTCCCTGTATCTGACATTAGCCAGTGCTGGGGTACTTCATAAGAGAGATTTAAACTCATCACTTGGTTTGTCACACTTTTTATGGATGGTAGGAGTATTTCTTCTGCGTTTGTAATGGCCATTTTGTTGAATTATGCATTATTTTTATCATGGTGCTTTAGAAATGGATCATGGCCCATTTCAAAATTGAACTATGTATTCAGCAGTGTGATATACTCTGTCAAAAGGGTCCCCACTTTACCTATACTGTGTGAAGCGTTACTTATTTTCTCTGCTCCAGGGATACCTTGGAGCAGGCTCAAGAAGCAGGTTGAAGTCACTTCAGAGAAAACTCTGAAAAGGTGCTGGAGGTTACCAGCATCACTTAACACAATTGTGTGTATAGGCCTCATATTTGCTAAGAACTTCTACTGATTTTAAAGCATATGCACGAGAGAAACATTGAAAATATGTCTAATGTTACACAGGACTAGGGGAGCTGTAAGAAGCTGTTGAGATGAATTTGCGGGCAGTTTCATGACTGCTTCCTGCACACTCTGTTGGATTATGTTTATAGGTAAGACTTATCAAAAATTCTGCCTCCAGACTCAACACCATCAAATGCACAAATCTCCAGGATACCAAGCCCACAGCAGAGAGCATTTCCATGAAGAGGAAACAGTCCAGCAGTAGAAGCAGAAGAAGTGCCTCCAAAGGTTGGAGCATCTCCCTGGAGTTGTGTTAGACATGAGTAGGCAAAGCCATGGTGGTCCTACTAGCAACTGGAGATAGTCCTGCTTCAAGCAAAATGTTGGACTAAATGACCTGCAGACATACCTCCCAGGCAACTTGGACGTGGTTTTATTAACTTCTTAATACCTGTGATACAGATCTAAGCACAACCTGGTATTATCTATCTCCTCTAAAGATTGTTCAGAGGCAATAGCACATAAAAACAAAATTAAGAGTGTAATTGGGGAGATTTCATAAGTTTACCGTTTCTGGCCATTTTCAGATCATAAAAGTATGAAAACATAAAAATTAAATAAACTCAGTACTTTTTCAGTTTTGTTAGTAGGGATGGCTTCAAAAATGCAGCTGATGTTTGTACAGCATAGTGCTCTTAAGTAACTGCCTAAGCTAATTCTGAGCAAAGCAGCTCAAGTACTTGTTGATGCACTATATAGGTATTGCATCATCCCTTCATTTTTATGAAAGGTGCCTTGATGTTGCCTTGAAGAAAAACCATGTTTGGATTTGAAAGTAGGCTGGGCATCTGGAGCCAGCGCTCCCTGTATA